GGTGACTGTGGGAAAGCTAAGGAAGAATAAAGCTAAGAAAATCCCCCCCACACAAAAAATTAAGAACATACTCAAGAACATAAACATAAACAACTGTGACAGATGCATTACTATGCAAATCATATGAGTATAGATTTGACTGGAATTTGCATATCTTAATATATTGCATTACAAAACAGGAGGTGTGCAAGCAGCAGAATATGATTGCAAGGAAAGGTTGTGTTGATTCTTACATTCTTTTGTGGACAATGCATCTTCGGTTTCAAAGCTACTTATTTATGGCTTGCATTGAAGAAAAGTCATGATAGAATTCTAGGAGAAATTGCAAGGACAAAAGAGCACAAATAAAGATTGACCGCTAAAAACATAAATAGATATTCACCCATGATGCAATATTTTAGTCTCCTAATTAAAAATCAATACATGCAGATCAAAGATGACTGATTCTAAAATGCAGTTGTGTGTTGTGACCTGCCAGCAGCCAGTGGAGCTGGTGGCAGACTCAGACAATGAGGAGGTTGGGGAGGAACATGGGCCAGTCCTGGAGTCTGGGGAAGGCTCTGATGAGGGCTCTGTGTCCGAGGCAGAGAGGGGGCCAGGGCTGTCTGACAGTTACCAGCTGCCTTCAGAGTCGGAGATCAGTGGGGCAGAAGAACAGCTGGAGCCTGTTCCCAGTGTGCGCATGCGCAGTTGCCAGATGAAGGGAAGAGCTAAAGAACTGGGGTCGACTTGGGAGTAAGGCCACAGATGGACAGTGAATGGCCCCTCCCAGAGGACATAAAAGAGGAGCGAAGGAGGAGTGGAGTTTGCAGGAGACAATTTGTTCATTCCTGCATTGCAATCCACTGTTTATCGGGACAAGGACTTGGCTTCGTGCTGCTGAGGAAACCTAGGTTAGAGCAGGAGCTTTGAAGACGAGGGGTAGGAGTTGGTCTCTCAGAAAACGGGGCAAAAGAGCCCATCAAGTAATCACACTGCTCAGATCATGATCAAGAGGGCAACTTCAGGCACTGGTGGAGGAGGAGGGGGGGAGCTATCCCGCAAACTGAAGAATGATGCCCATTTGCCATAAAGACCCCATCCGTGGGAGCTTATACCTTTAATCGAGTCCCTTTGGCACCAGTAGAATCAGCTCTCTCACTCCCGGCGAGGTCCACCAGACTGATTTTGCTCACCTGGAAAGAAGAGGCAGGAAGCGTTCAGGACTAAGACCCAGAGGAAAAACAACTGATCAGATGGTTGTAATGTGAGAGGATCCAACAGGGCCGGGATTGCATAATGTTCCATGGGGCCGGTACAGCCTTCATGGATATACAGTGCTCAATAAATGCTCTGCTTTTTGTTGTGGTTTTCCAAAGTATTATCCCAGACTGGAAAGCTTCTCTCCCACTGGGGATGTGCGTTTTTTTTAAACATGCAATTCCCATTAGAATTTTAATTACCATATTTTTCAGATTATAAGACGCACCTAGATTTAGAGGAGGAAAACAAGGAAAAAAAAGGTTTTTGGCCTCCGTGCATCCCGTTTTCAGCCTCCCCAGCCTCCCGAAGCTTCCGCACATTCTGTTTTCACCAAAAAAGGGCCCATATTTGGCCTGCAGAGTGCTTTTGGGAAAAAGGTGCGTCTTATGCTCCGAAAAATACGGTATATCCAACTCAAGAAAAGGTGGGTTTTTTAAAAAAAATAATGGGGGGGATGAGTTTTCCAAAGATTTTCCAAGAGATGTATGGTATTCCCTCCTATCCTATTCCTTGAAAAACAGCTATCAGAGTCTCCCAGCAGCTCTGGATCCATTGCAAGGATCGATTCCCGTGGCTATTTTCCAGGGGGACGAAATAAGATTACCTTCTCGGTGGAAAGGTTGGTTTCAGCATCGTGCTTCTTCTGAGTGAAAACTATGGTGAAGACAGCATGAGAGCGACTGCTAGTCTCGTTCATGTTGGTGGCCGCTACCGTCCTTGGGAAGGAAAAAGGGAACGCATTTTTATGCTTAGAGAATACAAAAGATAAAGATAAGGCAAGAAGATAAAGCAGAAATGTTTACATCAATTGCTTTATTCAAAGTGGAGAATATATTTATGGATTTTGTGCTTATGATGCAAAACAAAAAACAAAAAACCCCGAAATATTGACTTTGGTTTTGCCGATTAGATAAATCTGTTCTCATAGAAATAGCGAGTTATATACTAATGCAAGGGTCAGCAAACTGCAGCTCTGGAGCTGCATGTGGCTCTTTCCTCCCTCTGCTGCGGCTCTGTCACGCACAATTTTGAGAGGAGCTTCCTGTGGGAGGGGGGAGAGAAGCACAGTGCGCCAGAAGACGACTCTATGGCAAGGGGAGCGTTTTCCAGTTGTCTCCACAATTGATAGGACTTTCGGTTATGACAGGTAGAGGAAAAAGTACGCCGCGCTAGGAGGAGACTCTATGGTGGGGGAACTGAACTTCCAGTCAGGTCCACAATTGAACAGAGGGCTTCCGGTTAGGACTTTTGTGGCTCCCAGTGTTTTCTTTTCTGTGGGAAATGGGTCCAAATGGCTCTTTGAGTGTTTAGGTTTGCCGACCCCTGTACTAATGTGTAAAAGTAAAAAGTTGGGGCTGGAATGTTGTAATCTTGTACTGTGCTAAAAAGAGTCGGAAGTCAACGCTTTTTGCTTTTTTCCTCTTGTACCTCATTATTTTCTTTTCTCCTCTCTTTTTCTCTATCTTAATTTCCTATTTTTATTTTTCCTTGTATTTGATACATTGATACAATAAAAGTTAGGAACACACACACACACACACACACACTTACACTTTGGGTCAGACAGAGAATATTTCCCCAAGTATTCTCCCTTGTAAAGGGGAGCAGATCTTGGCTAAATGGTGGAGCCACACAAATCAGAGGGTATTTTCACTTCCGGTTGATGTCGTGGCGATATCACACAGGGAATGCACATTCCCTGTGCTGATTTCTCCCTATTTGTGGGCTCCAAGAAGAGCCAAAGTCGCCTTGTAGGGGCAGTGAAGCAAAGAGGGGCACCCTGTGAGGTCGCAGAGAGTCGCAGCTCTCCTGTCTGAGAGCTGTTTCAGTGACGGCGAGGAGAAGAGACAGCCTAAAGATGGCTGCCACAAAGCTGGGACAATCGAGGAACAACTAAGACTGGCGCTGGAGCAAAGTAGGTGAGCAGTGACTGGAACTGGGGTAGAGGATTCTTTTTTGCCTTAAATCAGAGGGCATTTTCCATGAGAGGCGAGAAAGTTTTGCCTGCTTCTGCAATGAAGCCTCTTTTCCCCTTTCTTTTCAAATGCTTTAGGCACAGCTACATTTAAATTTTATAATCGCCACCAACTTTAATACAGCTGCTCTGAAGCAAAATAATCACCGGAAGGAATTTAATACTGCAGTCTTTTTCCCAAATGGTCCTTTTTAATCAGTTAATAATGTAAAACACAAAAATGCAAAAACAAATGGTAAGAAAAATAGGGGAGGGAAAAGGGAAGGGAAAGGTGTAGGGAAAAAAGGGGAAAAGAAAAAAAAAGGCATTGACTCACGACTCCCTTTGGTGCAGTACAATAAGATAGTAATATCAAACCTCTACTTTTTACTTTTAAATAATAGTAACAAAATAGCAATTTCTATAACAACACATCTATTGGTAAAGCTCAAAATCAACATTTCGGTTTTTTCCCCACCTCAAGCACAAAGTGCAGAAGCGGTTTCCAAGTACGGTAGAAACTAAAGTAATTATGGGGCTTTTCTTTCTTTTATCAAAGCTGACATAGTCCAGTGTTTCTCAACCTTGGCCACTTGAAGATGTCTGGACTTCAATTCCCAGAATTCCCCAGCCAGCAAAGGCTGGCTGGGGAATTCTGGGAGTTGAAGTCCAGACATCTTCAAGTGACCAAGGTTGAGAAACACTGACATAGTCCATTTGGCCATCTCTGTCAACTCCATCAACTATTGCAGCCGTAATAATGCACTCTTAGCAATCATTTTCTTAATAAGCCTGTTTTTATATAGCAAGCTGATATTTCAGTCAAAAAGTTCTTTTAGTTCTAGAATAGCCAACCAGAAAATGTTCCCGTAAGTAAGTTTACTTTGATATTTCACCCAAATGGTGCAATCATTATAATTCGGTTTGCAAGAGGCATCATTTCAATGTCAATATATTAGACTACCAACGGTGAGAAGATGATCATTTCACAAATCAAGATTTCAAATATTTCCTCCCCGTCCAGCCCCACAATTAGGTATGAAACTAGTCCTGGGCTTAAGGCCGCAACTGAGCCCAAAACTGAGGTTGCTAAGTCAAACATTTGTTAAGTGAGTTCCCCCTATTTTACGACTTTTCTTGCCACCGTTGTTAAGTGAATCATTACATTTGTTAAGTTAGTCACACAGTTGCTAAGTGGATTGGGCTTTCCTATTGACTGTTTGTCAGGAGGTTGCAAAAGGGGATCACATGACACACACCCCAGGACGCTGCGACGGTCATAAGTATGAGCCAGTTGCCAAGCCCCTGGATTTTGATCACATGACCACGGGGATGCTGCAAAGGCCGTTAGTGTGAAAAACGTTCCTAAGTTGCTTTTTTTCGGTGCCGTTATGGCTTTCAGCAGTTCACTAACTGAACTGTTGTAAGTCAAGAAGTACCTGTACAAGCTGCAAGAGCCCTGAAGTGCAAAGACACTAACCTTGCTTTATTCCCAGCATCCATGAGGTCTGCGATATCGGTGTAAGAAGTGACAGCAAGCTTGGACAGATCTTCCACATAAGGCCCGAGCAGTGGGTGTTCCCGGACCCGCAAATTCCCTTTGTTTTTGGGGTTTAGCAAGTCTCGAACTCTCTCGCAGTAGATCTCCATGTAACTGACCTACAAGAAAGGGACAACAATAGAAAATGGTGACACGGGGGGGGGGATTGCTAGCACAGGTAGATCTCGGTTTACGACCACAATTGAGCCCAAGATTTCTGCTGCTGAGACATATGTTAAGTGAGTTTCCCTCTCCCATTTTACAACCTTCCTTGCCACAATTGTTAAGTGAATCCCTGCAGTTGTGAAGTTAGCAACACGGCTTTAAACTGAATCTGCCTTTCCCAATGACTTTGCTTGTCAGGAGGTCACAAAAGGGGATCACATGACCCCGGGACACTGTGATTGTCATAAATATGAGACAGTTGCCAAGCTGACTATTTTCTATTATTTCAGTTGCCAAGTGTATATATTTAAATGAGGTAATTCAAATGAGGCTTAGATCTGACTGTCAGGTTTCCGAAAGATGCCCTAATTGATTCGTGAGCCTCAAGCCAAGTTTCAAAAGAAAACCAGTCATTTATTAGGAGCACCATTTTGGCAATACTCTATTGCAGTCAGATCTAAGCCTCATTTGAATTATAGCTGAACTTTACCCCTGTTCCTTCCCTCCCCTCAGTCTGTGTCATAAATCACATTTTCCAATGAGGTGCACCCCTCACAAGCCTGTTGTAATAATCTGAGAGCCGACTCTAGCTGAAGGTATGCATGGAATGCGCTCCCCCCCCCTTTCTTCACCATGGCAATTTTATGAGTTGACACCAAGCATCTGAATTTTGATCACATGGCCATGGGGATGCTGCAACGGTCGTTAAGTGTGAAAAAGGATCCTAAGCCATTTCCCCCCGGTGCTGTTGTAATTTTGAACAGTCACTAAATGAACTGTTTTAAGTTGAGGACTATCTGGACAGAAGAGGCAGGTAATGGAAAGGAAAATGGGAGTTCCAAAAGTTGAGTCATAAGTGCTGATTTAGAAAAACTCCATTATTCATCACAAGGGCACTTTAGGGCCAAGACATCAATAAGTATTTTGAGAGCTTCTCTAGATCACTCAGGTATGTAAAGATGAGAAGAATTGCAAGAAGCGATGAGGTAAGGACCCACACAAATAGCTGTGAGGTCAAGGAGCCATCTTATATAAAACCGAGCCACTCTTTTAAGACTGCCCAAGATAGTTTCCTCTGAAGGGCAGCTGCCAACTTCCACTCTTCTCATTTCTTGAAAAAGTTGGGTCTCACGAGAGGGGATAGGGAAGGGGCAAGAGAAGTGGTAGAAGTGGTAGAGGGGGCCAGGGCTATCCGACAGTTATCAGCTGCCTTCAGAGTCAGAGATCAGTAGGTAGAACAGCTGGAGCCTGTTCCCAATGTGCGCATGTGCAGAACTGCCAGGAGAAGGGAGCAGTTAAGGAACAAGGGCCGACTCGGGAGTAAAGGCACAGGTGGACAGTGAATGGCTCCTCCCATAGGGAATAAAGAGGAGCAAAAGGGGAGGGGAGTTTGCAGGAGACAATTAGTTTGTTTAATTAGTATGAAGATTAGTGCCAAGTATTTTCTTATACAGCATTGCATTTGGAAGATATCAGCCTGGCAGCTCTACAAGCCTGATAAGGTCTGTGGTTGTAAATTCACCCTTGAAAGACTGTTTGCTGGGCATTTGCTGNAGTCAACCTTGAGCCGGTGAGATTTGAACCGCTGAACTGCAGATAGCAGTCAGCTGAAGTGGCCTGCAGTACTGTATTCTAACCACTGCGCCACCTCGGCTCTTTGGTATATAGCTATGGCAGATTGGTTATTGAGAGACAGCTTTAGTCTGATTGGAGTTTTTTAGTTATGAATTACAGGTAATGAATGCATATCTTAATATTGCTGTCATATAAGAGGCTCTCTATGCATTACAAGAAAGACAGATAGACTAGGAGGAAAACTCTTATTGAAGTAACGGTTTTCTGGGTGCTGGAATGAATATATTGTACCTTTTATTTACAATTCTCTTTAACAGTGATCTGTTTTCCATGCACTTATATGTAGACGCTTGACACTGGCAGATATTGAGAGAATTGCACCGTTGGCTGAAGGAGCCCTGCCTTACAACCTGGCAGAACTGCAGAGGCAGGTAGGTACTTTCAGGGAAAAGTTGAGTCTATTAATTCTGGTAAATGGTTGGACGTTAAAACTCCTGAGATTAAGTTAAATACATCCCCATTTAAAGATTTACATGGCATTTTTATTGACGTTTGTTGAAAAAATGCACATTCCACTAATTTCTTTCTTCAAAAAACACCTCTGCTCAACTACTAAAACTGCTATGACTACTATGAACAGCTTTTCATAGTGTTCCAAATAATAATAACAATAATAAAAGGATTGACTGAAGTGGTGAATGGCGTAAGCAAAGCTGATCCATATTTTTAAGGAGCTCTTCAAACAATTCTTCTGCCAGTCTTAATATTTTTTAAGCCTTTGAGGTGTGGTAGCTGCCTACAGGAGGATGTAGACAACTCTCAGATGATGAGAGGCCCCCAACCCAAATTTTCAAGGAAGTTGCTCTTTATCATCAAAATAAGCAGTTGTGTTTCTTCCTGACCTCTGACAATTGTGGATGCAAAAGCTTGCGTTTTTATATTTCTTAAAACCAATAATTCCCAATAACAGAAATATCTCTGAGGTGATCATTTAAAAGGAATAAATCTAGCTCTCACAGCATATAATCAAACTGCCAGAGTGTGATTTGTTCTGGAAGAAAACACAGGCTAGTGGAATTATTTTTATGAGTCTGTGTTATGCCAGTTCCTCTGTTTGCAAATGACTGCATTATCTATTTGTGTTAAAATTCATTTTCAAAATTAAGTTGCCTGTAATATTTCAGTTTATTTCTGTTGTTGGCCAATAATGCCACTCAGTTATTATACTTTAACAATCAACATATGAAAGATTTGTTAAACTAATTATCATGGAGATTGACCAGGACAATTTAGCTAGACTGTCTTTCTGAATTTTACTTAGGTTTACTTGCTAGCTTTTTTTTTAAAAAAAAAANTGAAGAACCACTTCCATTTACCTAGTTGATTGGGTGGAATGGACTTTTCTGGGAATACAAAAGTTCCACTGGCCTAAATGTTAGTGTTAGGCTCGAAGGATTGGAGCCAGAGCCTGAGTTGTAGCTCAGAAAGATTTATTGTTCACATTTGTACATAAGAATTTGATCAGCTAAAAGTCAGCACTAAATTTGCACTAGAAAATGGCCAAGGAATTCAAGGGGGTCTGGACTTGGATCTCTTGTGGCAATGCAAGGACTCTAAACTGATGGTGGGTTTATCTCCACTCTCCAGCTCTGCCTGCCCTTCTCCTATAGTTAAGGACTAAAGGATTTTCTGCTCACTATTCTGCTTTGAGCACAATAATATTCAGATGTATACTTTACCCTCTGAGAGTTGGTTTAGATATCTGTTCCAATTTTTAATTATCCAAGAATTTTTTTGGTGGGGGTGAGGGCTTTCATTTGCCTCTTTTTCAGTAGCAAAAATTCCTTTAATTGGAATTCCTTGTATATCTTAGCACGTTCTAGGTCTGTTAATAAATCTATTACCAAATGAAATTTGCTTTTGTCACAGTATTTCCAATCTTCTCATTCCCTGCTTATTTGGAAATTGAAATGTAAGGAGAAATTCTAATTCATTGAGGGCCGCATCAGGACTGTGGTTGACCTCGCGGCTAGGCGGGGTGGCTGACTGGGTAGGTGTGGCTGACTGGGTGGGTGTGGCCAGCTTGACGACACTCTCCAAACTGCTGGCATGTTTCCTCTTCTCATTGGGTACACTGGGACGAAGCTACACTGGCCTGATCTTTCCACTTCGCACTGGATACACTGGGCCAAAGCTATGTTGGCCTGATCTTTCCTTTTTGCACTAGGTAGACTGGGCCGAAGCCACGTTAGCCCTGTCTTTCCTTTTCATAATCAGTAGACCAGGATGGCCCCCTGGATCGGATCCAACCACATTGTGGGCCTTGAGTTTGACACCCCTGTTCTAAACGGATGATAATTATTTTCTCTGTGTGATTTTACTGTGTTTTGCTTTCTCCAAGGCTGCAGGTGGATCTGTCTCGCATCAAGTCAGCTTTTCCTATTTCAATGCTTTTAATGCTCTGCTGAACAACATGGAACTTGTTCGAAAGATATACAGTCTCCTAGCAGGCACTAGAAAAGATGTAGAAGTTACAAAAGGTAAAGGAGTCAACCTCATTATTGTTTAGATTACTGACGTTTAATGCTATATAGAAAACAAAGCTGGAGCATCCTATCTTTAACTCTAGACCCCTAAGGGCAGGAATGGTCAGTAAATGGTACCCCACCCAACCTGTAAGTCTCCTGTAGAGTTTTATTGGAATGTGCATTCTCAACCCTTTTTTGCCCTTTTTATGTATTTGGAGAAACTATTTGGTTTAATTATCTTAATTAAATTAAGATAATTAAGTTTCTGTTAATGGAGAAAGACTTCTCTCTGAGATGTCAAAGAGCCAAATCAGGATTGTACAGGGACCATACTTGATTTGGGGGCTGTACCCCAAACAATTAGTGGGTCTGGCAGAATAAAGCTCCATTTCTAAATATTTTAAGTTGTCTGGGAATATGGGAAACATTTTGGGATTGTATATAAGTTTGAGAGATGATACAGATCTTTTGGACTTCAGTTAGCTTAATTGACTCCAAATCATATTATATAATTGCCTGCCCTTTGAAACATCATCTGAGATTAGATTGGCTTGGCCCCATCCATGCTGGCCTTGAAAACGTAGTTTTGTGTCTGACCCTGGGGACTTGGGGGGTGTTGACAGAGCCCATCTCCTGATTGTGTTGATAGTTGCTGAGCTGGTGCCTGACTGCTATGTGTTTTTCTTTAATATTATGTATTTTGTCTATTTTACTATAGGCCTCTTAGAGTCATGTGTGTGAGATGGGCAACTATATCAATCAATCACATAAAATTGTCTTTAAAACATGAATCCTCTGCAAGAAGGATTTGTCTCGCAAGAACCGGATAATTCCTGTGACATTATTGAACAGTGTGTTTCCCTCTCCCGTAAATCTACTTAGTACAACACATTTAATAGAGTCATCCTGAGAGAAACCAAAAGACAGACATCTGCATTCTCCCCTGTTATTTGTATTGTGATTTTTTTTTTAAAAAAAAGACGGGTTTTACAAAAAGTTGATGGCCCCCTCAACCCTGCTTTTGTCCCTCCAAAGTACCCTTAGAAGGTTCAGAACAATCCATTTTTGGTTTTGCAAGACTACCAAATATCAGGCTGAAAATGGCTGTACCCCTTCAGTGATGTCATAATGTCCAGGTCAGATCCTGGACAATGGGTATATTACTCCTTTGGAAGTTTTCTTTTTGTAGGGTAATGTCTGGCTGCTACAAATTTTGGCGTTTGAGAAGTTTCCTTCCTTTGTGAAGGGAGATTGTCCTCCCTTGAAGGACAATCTCAATTGACTTTTATATGAATCAAATAAAGCCAAATATTGAATAATACTGGTCATACTGCTAGATAGAAAGTTCTGCTTTTGCAGTTTTAGAATGACGTGAAACATAAATGAATGTGATTGTGTCAGGTATTCTGTGAGACTTATATTTAAACTTATGCTTCCTACTTTTGCCACATGGCACTTACTATACCTGAAGGACCCAAAGGTGCTTTTTCAAGAGGCAACTGGACTTTATTGTTTTTCTTTGAAGATGTTTCGCTTCTCATCCAAGAAGCTTCTTCAGCTCAGAACTGAAAAAGCTTTTTGGATGAGAAACGAAACGTCTTCAAAAAAATCCAGAAAGTCCAGTTGCCTCTTGAAAAAGCACTTTTGGGACAACCATGACTTGGATGACTGAGAATCTCCATAGACATATACTTGAAGGAGATTACATTATGTTAACCACAGTCAGTTCTATTCAGAGTTTCAAGGCTGCCCTTTTGTATAGTATTCAATGCTTATTTGGTTGATTCATTTTGTGAATTTTGTATTTTGATGTATAAATTTGTATGCCAAATGGTAGAGATCAAGCAATGTATTTGAAGAACAATACCAAGAATTTCTAAGTGATAAAGTTTAGATTGTGCATAATCTAACCGTTATGAATAATTGGTTCTTTCTCTCTCTTTTTGAAAATATCTGAAAAACAGAGGAATTCTCTCAGTCTGCCATCAAATTTGGACAAGTTACACCTTTGGAAATTGATATTCTCTACCAGATGTCTGACTTGTATAATGCTACTGGGTAATCTTGAACTTTTTTTTTAAAAAAGAAAGAAAATAGAATAGTGGCACAGAATGGTGAAATGTGGAGAAGACAAGATGTTAGCCAGGGTACATGTAATTTGGCATGAGAACAAGAATACACAAGAACATATCTAGTTTCCTACTTCCTTCCCCCATGTTAAAGGGGAGCAATATGGACATTCAGTCTGTGTTGTGATTCATTTTATATTACATGCATGAAAGATTGAAAACTTACTGTATGCAAAACTCTTTTTTGCTGGCAAATTTGTTTCTTTTTAAACAAAATTTTGTTT